AATTTTTTTTTGGGGGGGGGGGGGGGAGAGAGAGACAGGTGAGGGTAGAGACAGGGTCTCACTATGTTGCAGACTAGTCTTGAACTCCTGGCCTCAAGCAATCCTCCCACTTCAGCTTCCCAAAGTGCTGAGATTACAGGCCTGAGCCACTGCACCTGGTCCACACATGTCAATAAACTATGATAGATGGAATTTACACATCAAACCACTATTCGCCAAAAGCACTCTATTACATATTTTAAATGACTAAGAAATGGAAAATAGAGCAATCATTATTTGAGAGCCACATTCATATACTTATTCTCATTCATCCAAGATGACTACCAGCATGGTGTGATTCTGTATGGTTTCTGAACATTAAAGCCCACTCCCCAAGTTGTTATTCGAAGAAAAACCATTGATTCAAAGCAGATGATCTGCTGTGTGCTTTCCACCTTTGGCACGCCTTCTTGTTTTGGCATTTCAGGTTTAGGGATTATTGTTTGCTTGCTTTCTGCACATTAGTCTAGAGGTCAAATTCAACACAAAACATCATATCAAGAAAACCAACAGGAAAATACATCTTCTATTGTCCCTCTCTCGTCCCCATCCATCTCAATTTTGGCCAGGGATATATCGTTTCCTAAACACTCCACTCTACTAACTGGGAACACTTGTGGAACTATCCTAAACTACAGAACACAGTGAGTGTACTGATCCTTAAGCTAGATATTAACCTTTTATGTTGATGAAAACTTTATTTTTTATTTGATTTTATTTGAGTCAGTGTCTCACTCTGCCGCCCAGGTTAGAGTGCAGGCAGCAAACTCACAGCCACCACAGCCTTGACCTGCTGATCTCAGGTGATCCTTCTGCTTCAGCCTTCCAAGTAGATGGAACTACAGGCAAGTGCTACCATGCCTGGCTAGTTTTTTGATATATTGTAGAGATGAGGTCTCATCAAGTTGCCAGGGTTGGTCTCGAACCCGTGAGCTCAGTCAATTCTCTCACCTTGGCCTCCCAAAGTGCTGGGATTATAGGCGTGAGCTACCACGCCTGGCCTGATAGGAAATTTTAAATATGTAATGCCTACTAAAAACACTTAGTGGTGGCTCACACCTGTAATCCCAACACTTTGGAGGTGGAGGCGAGCATACCGGCTGAGTCTAGCAATTGAAGACCAGCCTGGGCAACATGGCAAGACCTTATCTCTGCAATAAATAAAAAAAACCAGCGGGCGTGATGGTGCAAGCCTCGACCTCCTGGGCTCCGGCGATCCTTCCGCCTCAGCCTTCCAAGTAGCCGGAATT